TAATCACATAGTTTAAGACAAATGATTACTGAAACAAACTTCAAAGATAGCCATGCATATGTTTTAGTTGTCTGTCTTTTTAATTTTCAGTTAACACAGGAACACTACATCTAATTTAGAATACAATATTTTAATCCCCAGAAAGGTAAATTTCCAGAACACCAAGCCAAAATATATATAGTAACAACCAGGATTATTTTTAAAATGAAGGAAAAATCCCTTTTATTTAATGATTAATATTAAAAGATCATTAAAATTTAAACTCTGAATAAAAAGCAAATTTGCTAATTCACTTAGCTATAAAATATCTGATTATCAAAATGTTTTTGTTACAATGAACATACAGATAGAGAATTTTATCAGGATTAGCCCAAATACATAAATCATCTTCCACAGCAATTAAACTTCATAGAATGTTGAAAAGCAAAACAGACATCTGAATTTCAAGTCAGAATTTCAATCTGTGAGATTCTCATTCTAAGTGAAGAATTTTGGGAGATCCAGATAAGGGTGCTCAATAGAAAGGACACCTAAGGCATTTATAAACCTCAATCAATTTAAATTGCATATTGTGCTGGGTCCTATGGAATAAGATTCTCTAAGAAATTATAGATTTTGTATATGTACCTCTGAGTCAGTGAATTTTCTAGTTCAGACATGTGGCTAATTGTGTTAAACCCAACATGAAGTTTTATGTCACTCTATGTGAAAAACAAAAAAACAAAAACAAAAAAATCACATTATCAGCACTATAATTTAGGCTGATAATAAATGAATAATAAATTGAAGTTTCCAAATAACCTAAGTACACCTCAATTATCGAATACAAATGGAAGAACCATTTTGCTTCACTTTTACAGATACTGGGCTTATTGATATTAGCATTGGCTTTTCAAAGTGGGAACTATTCAAGATCTAAAAATTTCATTAATCTTAAACACAAAACTTAATTCTGACTAATTATAGTCACTATAAAAGTCTTGAATCCCTCTCTCTCTCTCTCTCACAAACACACACACACACACACACACACACACACACACACACACACACACACATCAATGAAAATGTGAGATGAACTCCAGAGCTTTTTAAGTACTGATGGAATTCTCTTAACCCCTAGATACACTGAGGGGTTGGATGTCTGTCTCTTCTTCATTGATAACCTCTTTCCAATTAATTTTTATTTAACTGTGGTTCATGGCATTATTTTTTTTAAGGAGTTCTTAGAAAGCTGCAATTGTTTCCAAAATCAGAAGCCAATCACAGATGATGTACTCAAATATAACAGACATAATATTGTTATGGAGGTATTTACAGACAAGTGTCCAAAGAGCTCACTTGTGAACGCCAGCTTACATACAATGGACTCTAAAATAATAATTTGTTTATATAGTATGCAAGAAAGTTTAGCAATTCAGCCCTAACTTTAATCCATTTCCTTAAGTCACAAAACAAAGGAAAACATTCATGAATTTCATATATCTGTGGAAAATGAACACAAGTTATTTCTAAGATTAGCCTTCATTTCAAGGGGGTACAACTAACAACGTACACATTACACATTTAAAACGTATTGTGGACATCTAAAACATAAAAGCTGATAGTAGTTTAAGATTAGTAAACATTTCCTCTGAAACAACACATATTCAAGTTAAAAGATGCAAACGGACAGGTCTCATGATTTAAAAATATTTCCATTTCAAAGGCGCAAAAGTTTCTGCAGATGTACAGGATGGGCTTTAAAAATGGACACATATGTCAACTTTTCCATGGTCTTGGTGTGTGTGTTCCCCCTTCCTCCCAATGTCTTCTGCTCACAATGCTAAAGAATCTTCATCTCTCTGCTGTATTTTCAACCAGAAGTCTTCAATACACAATCTAGCCAAATTGAATATTAGGTATTTTACAGCTTTTACAAAATGGCTGTAAAATCACATTATGGGCATACATAGCTCTTTGATCTCACTGCACAGAATTCATAACTGTTCAATAATGCTATACCATTACACCACACACCTTAAACTATTTCCATTTTTCCACAATTCCTTCCAAAATCAGCTTCCAAAGCAATGTAACATGAAAAGTTCCTGGGAGGGCTGGTTCCACAAAAAGAACACTTTTGGATACACACTAAGCTATACACATCTCCATCTTCTACTAAGTTTGTTTCTCCCTCCTCTCCCTCCATCACTCCTAAAGGTGGGTGCACTTGAGTAATGGAAAGAGAAAGCCTTTCCATCACCACACCCTCTCAGCTCCTTTGCCTTTGGTCCTCAGACAGGGAGTCTGTGTAGGTGATGAAAATGCCAAGAAAAGAGAAGCTGTCCCTTTAAAATGCCCTGCTAGGTCCCATATCCCACGTGGAACCAACATCAGCAGCACTTTCCCATTTAACATCCATGTGAAGCCAGAAGCACCATCCTTTTAGAGAGAGAAAACCAGAAAACCTCAGCTTAACATTCCTTAGTGAGCATGCACAGGTGAAAGCAGTGTCAGGAAGGGAGAAGACCCAGCAACTCCCCACCCCTCCCCAAAAGGTACACCAGCCTTGCCCTCCAGTCTCTCAGGGCTACCTCACTTCTCAACCCCTCCTCTGGAGAGCCCTGCTGAAAGAAAGGAGGGAGCCACGAACAAAACCTGAAGCCTAAATGCGACGAAAATGCCAACGAAAGCCCCAGTGGTTTATTCTTCCAACCACACATATTAACTCTATTAAGAAAATGGCATCACTTTTTTTTTTCGACCCCAAAGGAAAATAAATAAATAAATAAAGAGCCCCCGAACCTCGCGAAGAACATGAAAAGGCAGAGATAAAATAGCAAATATGGTGTTTATCTTATCTCAGATCAGTCCCCATTACCAATAAGTTTAGCAGTTTCTGCACTACCACCTCCCCCTCCCTCCCCTGCCTTCTCTCGCATCGGATTTTCACGTTTTCTCATTGTCGGTGGAGTTATAAAAGGCTTTTGCCCTCCGAAAGTTTTAAAAAAATAAATAAATATTAACTCCTTGGTCCCTGCAAAGTCCAAACGGACTTCAGAGGAAAGGCGGTTCACACTTTTACCTCTGGCGAGAAAAGGGGGAGCATCCCGGATTTTTAGGGATTTTTTGCGATTTTTTAACAATTTTTATTTGGTTATATGCCTGAGTTCTCCCTCCATTTTGGTTGTTTATGATACTGACAACAAGCTGTCCCTGCTCTGTGCCGATCTCCTGCTTTCATTTAGCACCCCCTCCCCCTCCCCCCCCGCAGCCACACACCCCGGGCTCACACCTCCCTGCAGACCCCGAACCCCGACCCCAGCTCGCCCACCTGAGCGGAGGGCAAAGCAAAACCCCACCAAATTCATTTCTCCAGAAAAGAAGAAGGAGAAAAAAAAAAAAAAACTCTTTTGGAAAAAAAAAAAAAAGAGGGGGCAAAGTTACCCCAAGTCACTCAAAGTGCCCCCCAAATATTGCCGGCCGCGGGTCTCCGCTAGGCCCTTTGGGACGGGACCACCCCCCGGGATGTTTTGGTGGAAAATGCGGAGACTTTACTCTCAAAACTGAATTTATATTAATTTTTCCCTTATTTTTCGGGTCTCTAATGTCTTCCGCTCTCGCTGCTGCCGCAGCCGCTGTCACAATATTCACAGCACCAGAGAGGAGGAGGAGGAGGAGGAGGACGAGGAGGAGGAGGAGGAGGAGGTGGAGGAGGTGGTGGTGGAGGAGGAGGAGGAGGAGGAGGTGGTGGAGGAGCAGGAGGAGCAGGAGGAGGAGGTGGAGGAGCAGGAGGAGGAGGACGAGGAGGAGGAGGACGAAGAGGAGGACGAGGAGGAGGTGGTGTTGGTGTTGGTGGTGTTGGTGCTGGTGGTGGTGTTGGTGCTGGTGGTGGTGGTGGTGGTAGTGAAGAGGAGGAGGTGGAGGAGGAGGAGGACGAGGAGGAGGACGAGGAGGAGGAGGAGGAGGAGGAAGAAGAAGAAGAAGAGGAGGAGGAGGAGGAGGAGGAGGAGGAGGAGGAGGAGGAGGAGGAGGAGGAGGAGGAGGAGGAAAACTTTTCAAACTTTCCAGACCCTGAATAAAGGGTGTTCTTCTTCTTCTTTTTTTTTTTTTTTTCCCACCGACCTCACCTTCGGGTCCCCAGCCGCATCGCCCCCCGCCTGTCAGAGGCGACCGCGGGAGTCCCCGCAGCCCCGGGGAATTATTTCCATTTTATTTGTATTATTATTTTCCTCTCTGGGGTCCGGAGCAGGGGCTGAAAGCAGCACAAACTTTTCCTCCCGCTGCCGCCGCCGCGGCTCCTCTGCCCCCTCGGCCAGTCCCATAATTTAAATAACCCTGATATTTCTCCCGCTAAACGCCTCTCCGCCGCCCCGAACCCCGGGAGAACTCACCGCGGGGCTTTAACATCCTCCCTCCGGCCCGTCCGCCGCCTTTACACCGCCCGCGGAATTTCTAATAATTTTTTTCTCATATTTCGGGCTGGACGCGGCGGGCCTGGAAATTGTTTCCTTACGCCTCTTTCCAGCAGCCATTGTAGTGTATGCGCTGCCCCTGCAGCCCAACTTGCAGCTGCCGCTGCCGCTGCCGCCGCCGCCGCCGACGTCGCGCCCACCGCCGCCTCCCCCGGCCTGTTCGGCCGCCGCCCCCGCCTCCCGCCAGCCCGCCCTCGGCCCCCTCCCACCCTCCACTCAGCCCGCCTCCTTCCGCGCGCTCCTCCCTGGATCCGGCCACTCAGCGCCGCCGCCGTCGGGCTCCGGCCCTCCCATTGGTCCAGAGTGCCGCCTGTCAGAACGAAGTGTTAAGAGGTAGCCCTTCGGCGGGGGGCGCGGCGGGGCGGGGGAGGAGGCGGGGCCACGCCGCCAACCCCGCCCACTCCTCCCGCCCCGGCCCTGCTCCCTCCAACTAGGGGCGGGGCAAGACCCGCCCGCCCCTGACCCGCAGAGTCTGGCGCGTCTGTCAGTCTGACGGCGCCGCGCGCCGATTGGTCGAGTTGTCGCTGGGGAGCGGGGGCAGCAAGTTGGGGTGCGCACTACTTAAGGTCCTGCTGCGTGAGCCATTGACGTGTTTGGAGCTGGAGACGGCCTGGGTTCTGGGGAGGCAGCGGCCCGAGGTGAGTGGTCCTATGCCTCTCCCTCTGCGTAGGCTGAAGGGAAGCGGGGAGAGTGGGGCATGCCTGGGTGGCCGCGGGGCTGGATCCACTTCTGCAGCCCCTGGCCGCTTCCGCCCGGCGTCGCCGCCGCTCGGGCTCCTTCCCGCGACTCCTTCTCTGGCCACCCAGGTCTGCTCGTTCGGCCGGGGCCGGCCGAAGAAGGTGACCTCTGCCAGGCCCGGACACCCCAGCCCTTTGCATTCGCCTCCATCTCCAGCTTTTGGAGCGCGATGGCCTGCCCTCCCCCCGTCCCTCCCCTTCCCCGATTTTCTCATTCTCCGAAGCCCCCGGCTCCTCTTGGTCGCTGAGCGAAGCCAGGTGTGCTCACCTGTGCCCGTCGTCCACATTGGACATCGATGGGCAGCTCTGCAGACTCTGCTCTGACCTCCCCGCCCCCTCTGGTACGCACCCTTGACTTCCTGCCCCTGGCCTCTGCACCCAGACCGTGGGGTTTATGGCTTGGTGTGTTTTGTTGCTCCATTTAGGAGTCACAGACCCTGCTTAGGCTCTGACCAGCCAGCCTCAGGCATGCCTGGATGTGTTCTCAGTAACGTTTTCCTTCCCCCTCTCCTTTCAAAACTGCTTGCAGAGTCGGGGGGCATGGACAACTGTACGAAAAATCAAGAGCTACACAGGCGATCAGTTTGCTCCTAGGATGATGTCGTGTGCTTTTTACTGCCCTTCCCTCAAATCTTTGGCTTTCTTTCTGGTAGTCCTCTTGCAAGTAGTTGAGCCTTGTAACATTTGCTTAGTGCAGTACCTTCAAAAAGTAAGCAGATAAGGCCTCTCTAGCCAAGCACTCAAACTTGTTCTTCAGACCAGTTCCTCTCTGTTAATTGCCATTTCCTCTTCGTGTCTGGTACTACGTAGGAATTCAGGCAAAGGAGGTGACATTCGGAAGTCCACACTTAGAGTAACTTTTCCTGAGACACTGGAAGGAAAAGAAAATGCAATGTGAATCAACTCAAACAGTGAATCTGATCCAGTGTAGGTGATGGTACAAGGGTGTCATTTTTGAAGACTTGATGATGATAAGGAAATACAGAGTAGAATACTTTGATGTAAAGCAAGCTATTTAAATTCTGTGTCCGATTGTTGTCGAGCTTTTTCCACTCAAAATGTATGAACAGAGAGGCAGAGTTCTGTGTTATCACATCGCAAGATAAATGTGAAAGAGAAGGCTGTGAGTTATTCCCGAAAGAGTCAAGTCTACAGAAAAAAAAAAAAAATTGTGGAGACAAAGAAGCTTCTATGTTTAATAGAACAGCATTTTGGATTTCCTTTTTTTTTTGTCAAGATATTTCTGTTGGCTAGATTTGGTCATGTTTTAATGAAACTCGTAAGATATTTGGTAATCACTAGAAGTTAAAGGATCCCAAGGATAACCAAACCCTGTCCTTCTTTGCCCTCTTGTAACCCCACAGGGTCTCCCTCTGTGGCTCAAGCTGGAGTTGAACTGGAGTACCTCCTGCTTCTGCTTTGCAAGTGTTTGGATTACAGTCCTGCACTACATCACCTGGCTTAACCAAACTGTTTTCTGTCCCTTTTTTGAGAAGGTTTTTTTTTTTTTTTTTTCTCTGTGTGGTCCTATCTTGCACAAGGAAAAGTGAACCTACTTCGTATAAAAATCCTTTTTATCTCCTTATATCATCCAATTTGTTGTGTGTGTGGGGGGGGGGGGGGTGTTCGCGCGTGTGTTGCCTGTTCCTCTCTTCTGGGGTTTGAACTTAGGGTCTTTAGCTCAGCTTCTTGCTTATGACTGGTTTCTACCCCTTGAACCATTCTCTACTCTGGTTTTTTATTAGTTAAATGGGAGATAGGTGTCTTCCAGACTTTTCTACTGGGCTAGCTTCGAACCAGGATCTCTTCCTGAATAGCTAAGATTCCAAGTATGAACTATAGTTATACCCTATAGTACATTTTTTTTAATTCAGAGTTTTGTAGGATGTATTACATTATTTTGCTGGATTCTCCTTTGATTTTTAGATAGATGAATGATTAACCTAGAATATGATTTGGGCTAAATCAAGTCCTTAAGTTTATTTCAGAACTTTCAAAAGTAGTATAAGTGCTTCATCTTTAGAGGATACCAGTATATTCAAACAAAAACAAAATATCACTTTGAAATAGCCTATTATGACTGTTGGTTTTTAAAATGTTTCTTTTAGTTCTGTGACATCTCTTTGATGATAAAAGTCATATGAATTTTAGTTGAGCTTCATACTGGAGAGTAATTGTCCTGGAATATACTTGATATACTTATTTCATGAATATATAATTTGATAATTAATTGGGTCTTAGGGAACTGGTGATCTAAAACAAAAGAAAACCCATCTGGCTTTTCCAAGTGTCAACTAAGTAATAATATAGCTTTTTGGTATATTGGCTGCCCTATGGGTGCCCTATGGCTCTGGTACTTTAGTTGATGAATGTTTTGTTTAAAGTTGGGCTTCCTAATAAATTGTTCTTTCCTTCTTTGTGCATTATTAATTTTCGTTGGCATGTTTTGTTATTTAAGAAATGAGGAAAAAATAATACTGATGTTTGCTAGACATTACAATCAAAGTTCAGTAGCTCCCATTGAATACGGCCTGTTTTGGCACTGTGACAATACAAAGGAGAAACACATCGGAGTTTTTATTGTTGTTGGTACTGGGGTTTGATCTCAAGGTCTCGAGATTGCTAGGCAGTTACTCTCACTTGAGCCATGCCTCCAGACATTTTTTTGCATTTTCCCCTATCACTGGCTTGGGCTGTACAATTCTACTACATATGGCCTTGTAAGTAGCTGCAGTTACAAACTTGAGCCAATGTGCCACACCCTCCAAGTCTTCATTTCCAAGTAGGGGATAATGAAGTTCCTCTCTAGATGAGTATTATATCAAAATTCAATTTTCAAGTATTGGTGGGGCTAATGAGATTAATTTTCTGTCATTCCCTGCCTAACTGCTTTTTTCTCTGTACCTTCAGTAAGAAAACGTAGAATGGCCCTGGTGACAAAGCGACTGAGAGATCCCGACATAAATCCTTGCTTGCTGGTAGGAAGGTTTGCTTTTCATTTTTTTGAGAATTAAGTTGGAAAAAGAAGAAGAGGAAGAAGACAAAAAAAAAAAACATAAAAAAACAAAAAACAAAACCAACAATAAACCAGGCTTCCAAAAAAAAAACCAACAACAAACCAGGCTTCCATCTAATTTTGTGGGCATCTGTTTCCTGCAGTTGTTGAATAAAGTTATTTCTGTACAAAAAAGTATTCTTGGTCACTGTATTTTATTTCACTAGAGCATTTAAATGTGCATAATACGGCTAGCAAAGTCTTTTTTCTTTAATTTCGTTTATTTGTAAAAATGCAGCGTTTAATTGCTAATGGGAAAATAGGCATATGTAACACTGAAGAAAATCTTTTGTTGAAGTAGAGAATGCTGGAAGGTAGCACATTTTTCAATTGCCATTGAATTTATGGTTTTCATAGTATTAATTTCTTTGTGTTCTCCAGACAGCCTGGCTGAATATAAAAGGGCTGACAATAGAATTAGCTTTGAAATTAAGGTTATCTGATAGCTTATAAATAAATCTTTTGGTGAAATAACTTTTTACTTGTACTAATACGGTATGCCTTACAATGCTTTACTGTGGCTTTGAATCATACTACGGCTGTGAAAAATTGTAGTTCTTGATTCTGTATGCATTTTTTTTTTAAATGCATACATCCATAGGGCTAGCAGAGTGGTTCAAGTGGGAATACCTTCCTAGCTAGAACAGACCCTGAGTTCATACCTAAGATTACAAAAATTATATTCATTCAACATTTGTTGTATTAGAACATTTTTTTAACAACTTGAAGTAGCATGTCACTTAGATTTGTGAAGCAAGAAGTTGTGTAAAACAGCCTCTCATAATCGCTTTTACTTTGAAATTTGTCATTTAGTCTACTTCCAGGTCAGATGGCTTAAGTATAATTTCCAAATGGCATCTACCCCTTTTTAAACTGGTAACTCTGAGTTGTTGCACTTTGGTTTTGAAGTAACATGAGTGGTAACTATAAAGTTGCTTGATTTTAGTGTACTTAACTTGCATAATAAAGCTTAAAATGCATTGAAGTGAATGTTAATTTCAGTTGCCTTGATGTAAATCATTTAGCAATTTCCTTAGACTCTCAAGATCATCATTAAGATCAAACATCAAGTAAAACAAAAATTTGGAAAAACCAGAACTGTACTATCAGTCTGGAGACTGGCTTTTTGTTGTTGTTGTTGCAGGTACTGGGGTTTGGACTCAGTCTCATGCTGTCACATAGGTGTTTTTTGTTTTGTTTGCTCAAGGCCAGTGCTATGCCACTTGAGGCATGCCTCCAGTCCTGGCTTTTGTTTTGGTTAAGATCTTACCCAAGTATCAAGAATTGTAAGCTAGGATTCTGATTCTAGCTGTGCAGCAATTATTTTAACTGTATTATTTAATTTTCAGCTTTTGGATCAAATGATGACAGCCAATACTTTTGTTCAAACTTCCATGATATTTAGAAAACTGGCCCAAACTGTAAAAAGAAAGATGTATGCCCAAGCAGAATGGGTTCTGAAATAGTTGGCTAGATAATTCAGTTTTTATTAGTGTACTGATTATAAAATGAACAAAAATGGGAGGAAACAACTTCAGCAGTTTTTGTTTGGGGTATTTTTTAGACCATGTTCTAACTTTTAAATGATTACTCATTTGATATCTTTAAGGAATCTGATGCTTCTACAAGATGTATGGATGAGAATAACTATGACAGGGAAAGGTGTTCCAGTTACTTCTTGAGATACAAAAACTGCCGGAAATTCTGGGTAAGCCTAGTTTGGTTAGCTTTGTGGACTGACAATCTTGTTCCAGTGATGACCACCAGGAGTCTTCACATTACCCTCTTAGTTATGGTATTTCAGTCCCTTGTTTTGTTTTCTCACCCTATTCTGGGGTATAAAAAGCAATTTTAATATAGGTAACTATCTGCAGCCCTAAAACAGTAGCTGTGTTATAAATTAGTTTTCCTAAAGATGGACAGAATGTATAACTTATCCTGCTAGGACACATCGTACTAGACTGCCATTTCTGCCTCCTTTCCTATTGTCATGTATGGCAGGCAAAATAATCCCATTTTCTTAAGACATTGCTATATAATTTCTGTTTGGGTAAGCACTGACAGAATCCAGCTACTTGCTGTATGGACTGTTGATTTCACTTAACAGTTGTGTGGTAGCATGTGTGTGTATGCATGCATACATGCATAAACAGATATCTCCATCTCAGTTACTGTTAATGTATTTCTATGTGAACAATCCTTCTATAAGTGTTAATACTTTGAAAATTGTTATCTGGAGCCTCAGGTTCGGATTAGTCTAACTTGGCTTTCACAGTTTTTCTTGAGGAAGCAGAGTGCATTATTGACAAATGATTAGCATTTAATAAATGACTAATTTTGCTTTGTTATGTTTATACACAGAATTCTGTCATGATTCATAGAAGACAGAATGGAGTGAAGCCACCCATGCCTACAGCAGCAGAAAGAGATGAAATTTTGGGAGCAATGGGAAAGATGCCTTACTGACTGTTTACATTAAAAATATTTATTTAACTAGGACTGATGAATATTTTTCACAAATGATTGCCATAATCTTCTAAGAAGGATCTTAAGTTCTGTGAGGAGAGCACTCCTGTTAGCCCAGAGTCCTTGTTTGTTCTCAGTGCTACAACAGTGCTTTACTTCCTAGAGCTAAGGGAGGACTATACATGCTATACTTCCTAGAGGTAAGGGAGGACTCGGAAGGGTATAGGAGTTGAGCTTCTCTACTGGATCCTGAAAGAAAATTGAGGTCTGGACACATGAAGACTTAATGGGACTAGGAGAAAGGCAGTGGTTCTAAGAAAATAAAGTAATTCAAGTGTCTATTTAAAGTGGGTGGAAGTATCGTGGAAAGAAGACTGGGAAGGTGAGTTGCAGATAGATGTGTGTGTGTATGTGTGTGTGTGTGAGCCTTAAACCCAGGCTCTACTCTAAAATTTCTTTCCTTCACTCACTTATCTAAGTAAGGTTAGTACTTTCCCTGGGGGAAAATGAGTGAAGGGAAATTATCTTTAAGATATATGAAAAAGAACTAGTGTTCTATCTTTGAGGAGAGGCTTAGGTACAGAATCTGAGACTGAAATTGCCTGGAGTGATAGTAGCAGTTCTCAAACCTCAATAACAGAATAGGGGATAAAGTGAATACTCTTAAAAATAGGATTTCAATTGCAGGATGAGATGACAAGGAAGGAAGCAGGGGTTCGTCAGGCAAACGCTATACTGGAATGAGAAAAGCATAATTTTTCTTTATGATGTAAAACTATGAGAATACTCTATGGGAGCTGTAGTGTAGCTTGTGTAAGTGTTGTGTAAGTGTTCTCCTATACTCACTGCCACTTAAAATTGAATTGTTTCATTTACAAGATATAGTATTTAATAAAATTTAATGAGTTCTACAAAGCTAATGAAAACAAGTTACTATATCCTATTGTATCACCTGGATCAAGAGCATAGTTTCAATGGCTCTAGACAATGAATTATTGGAGTAAAATATCCAGCTCAGAAATTTTTTTAACCATATCATCTTCCTTGCTAGATGCAATTACATTTGAATAAAAATGGATGTTGATTATTATTATTATTTCTATTATTATTTACTATTTGCAGTCTTGGAGCTTGAACTCAGGGTCTGGGCACTGTCCCTGAGCTGTTTTTCCCTCAAGGATAGCATTCCACCACTTGAGCCATGGTGCCACTTCTGGCTTCTTCTGTTTATGTGGTACTAAGGGATTGAACCCAAGGCTTCATGCATGCTAGGCAAGCACTCTACGACTAAGCCACATTCCCAGCCCAAAATGGATTATTTTTAAAATGCTCTTGATTACAGTAAAAAAAAAAAAAAAGATAAAATTGGATCCTGAAATGATTATGTGAGAAATATTTCATTTTTGTATCACTTTTGTGAGTGTACATACCAGGATCAGCACTCTTCCTGTAGTTATTTGTCTTGACTGAATTTTTAAATTTATTTTCCACAGATTGTATTATTGCCAAGCACAGCAGACACAGATATGAATGCCTGCCTTACTGCCTTGTCTGTGGGCATTCATGAATCCCTGGATGAATACTTCAGAGTTGAGTTGTTGTGTTGTGTTGTGACTATTTAACCTTTTTGGGGATCTGATGATGTTTTCCAGTGTGGCTGTGCTGTTCAATTCCCATCTGCAGTGTATGAGAGTTCTAGTTTCTCTACATCCACAACATTTGGTATATGACTGAGTTGATAGTTACTCTACTGGATGTTAACTGTTCTCTCCATGTGGTTTTTGCTTTCCATTTCTTTGGTGGCTAAAAAACTTGGTTGGGTATCTTTTCATTTGTATATTAACTATTTGCATAACTTTGGGGAAATATCTGTTCTGATCCCTGACACATATTTTAATATTTGGGTCATTTTACTGGCTTATAGCAGTTCTTTATACTAGATAAAAGATATTGGATGTATGCTTAGCAAGAATTTTCTCCCATTCTATAGGTTGAATTTTCACTTTCTGGTGTGCTTTGAAGCAAATTTTTAAAATTTTGGTGAATGGGAAATATTAACCTGTAAAGTTGAAGATACATAGAGTATTAACCTTGCTGGTCATTAGTGCTAGATTTGAGCAAAAAAGCTCAGGCTCAGCATTCAGTTTCTTGAGTTCAAGCCTCAGAACTAGCAAACACACACACACAAAATTTTAACTTCTCTCCAATGAAATACAAATTTCCCTTTTGCTTCTGGTGTCACGTACGAAGGCATTGCCTAACCCAAGGTCATGAGTATTTACAGCTCTTTTCCTGTAACAGTTTTGTGGATCTACTGTGAAAATTAGGTCATCCATTCGTTTTGAGTTAATTTTTGCAGATAATCTGAGGTAGAAGTCCAACTTCATTTTGTACACCTGACTACCCATTTTCCCAGCAATCTTGAAAAAGAGTGTTCTTTCCTCCCATTGAATTAGCACCTTGTTTTAAATCAGTTCTATATGTGAGAATGTTTTTCTCTGAACTTCCCATTCCATGTCATTTGTACATGTCTACCCTTAGGCCAGAGCCATGATGTAGAGTGCTGTAGCTTTGTAGTGATGGCATAGCTCTTTGGTTTCTGTGTATTTTCTGTAATATTTTATTTTGTGCTGTAATGTGGCTTGAACTCAGGGCCTGGGTGCTGTCTCTCAGCATTTTCATTCAATGCTGTTCAATTCTAAATTTGTCTTCAGTAATTCTCCAATTTCTAGTTAGTTGCTTTACTACCATAATCACTTTAAGGTAGAGTTCTTTTAATCTATGTTCAATCTCATTGCCCCCCCTTTAGGTGGTGGCAGAGTCCCAAGGGTCTTCCTCATCATCACTGTTAAATAGTTGTATTTCTCCAAGATTCTGCTTTGAGAGAAGTAACTTGTGTCAGAATGTGAGTGAATGATTGCTGGGAGAATTTAGTTGTGAGGCAAGATCTTATATGAACTTACCAAGTAGCAAAATACCTAGGAGTCATTTTCACTATGTTCATGTTCACTTGCAGGAAGCATCTCATTCAGATTCTCAGGCAGATGGGAACACTGATGCCCTGGGTCTGTCATACGTAAAAATCCTTTTGAGAATCGCTGTATTTCTAAGTTCCCTGGGACATAAGCAAGTTATACCTATAATAACGTGTCTGCATCTAGTATGTGGTAAATAATCCCAAATGTGTGTTTCGGGGAGATGCTGGCTTTGAAAATTGAAAATTGTTCAGGCTCAAACAATGAGAAAGGGCAGACATTTTGCAATAAGTCTTTCTGGAAGCAGTCACTGTCGAAAAGAGTTTTCAAGGTTCCCATGCATATACAAGCATATCTGGATACGTTTGCTTTGTGCCACAGAGGCATATGGTACTTTTCTTTGTTCTCTTAATGAAGTTGTTTGGGGTTATTACTGTCTATCTGTGATAATTAGATTTATCCCATCTCTGTCAATGGCTGCTGTTTCCGTTGTTTGCTATACCATTATCCAATCAATCTCTTATAGATGGATATCCCGTTATAACAAAGTTGTAACAGTCTTCTTCGTACCTGGGTCTTTGTCCTGCATGATTTGTCTTAAGATTTCTGTGCTTTAAATTTTATAGGTAATGGAAAATCAATGGCTCTCCAAAGAAGAAACATACCAATTTTTACTCCCATAAATCCTGTTTCTTTCCTGATACTCTTGGTCTCACTGGGTACTTCAATGTTTTAATCTTCACTAATCTGATGAGTGAAAAAATGGAACAAGTTGTTTATTACCTTTGCCCCCTTTTCTCGTTTAGATTGTTGCTGTGAATGAATTGGGAGTTTCTTGGAATATTAAAGAAATTACTTTTTTCCTTTGTATATACTGTATATTTTCCCAGTTCATCTTTTAGCTTTGTTATTGACTCCTTAAAAATGTTTCTTCTGGGTGTCATTGGCTCACACCTATAATCCTAGCTACTCAGGAGGCTAAGATCTGGGGATCGTGGTTCAAAGCTAGCCCAGGCAGAAAAGTCCATGAGACTTATCTCTAATTAACTACCAAAAAAAAAAAAAAAAGAAAAAGCCAAAAGTGGGTCTCTGGCCTTGAACAAAAAGCTCTGAGACAGCACCTAGGTTCTGAGTTCAAGCCCCAGTACTGTTGCACACACAAAAAATGATTTATTTTCCTGTAATTAAATGGATTGATCTTTCTATTTATGCTTTCTGTAAAATATCAAATGCAGCCAACCCTAAGTACTGTTATATTTCAGTTCTACTCAATCAGCGTTTGCAAAGTGCCAATAATGCGCAAAGCTGTAACTAACTCTATAGAGGGGCATGGACAAAGATGTTACCATCCTGGCCTTGAGGAACTTTGCTGTGCTGCCAGGGAGAATGAAGTAGCACTGTAGCAGGAACAATAGCAAACTCAGAGGGTAAGTGGCCTTCATAAGTGCAGAGGCAAACACACGTGCCGTGCTATTCTTTGGGAAGTCCTTACTAATTAAAGTCAGAATATGTGGAGGGAGGAGGCAGCAAGAGGAAACTAGAAAGGTAGAATGAGTTCAGAGTCTTGAATGCTGTGCCTAGTACTTTAATACTTTTTTTCTGAATGTAAGAGAAAGCTACAGAAGAATCGAATCCAATTTATGTTTAAGAATTCTGGAGCGAAGAGATGATTGAAAGGACTATATCCCTGCCATTATTTTGGCTGCTTTTCCAACTTCAGCCATTATCACACTCGAACTCCTTTTCTCTACCATAGCAAGGTAAATCTCTAAGATGCAAATGAAACAATTCCTTCCCTTGAGTTTCTCACTACCTGCCCATAATCTCAGTTCTCTCTGAGAACTGGCATGTGAAAGTTGGAGCAAGTTTTAAGAAGAAATTCTTTTGGGGATGGGCTAGACTAGCCCTCTATCTTCATGATCTTAGATTTCAGGAGCCAGACAGGAAAATACAGTACGGTACATTATCTTCCTTCCACGCTCACCATTGTTAAGCACACTCCCTGTTTTCTGAACCTGAATGATCAGACCCGTACGGCTTCCCTTGTTTCTCCTGT